AGCAGCAGAAGCCTCATCGTCCGTCTGCGCACCGACTCTGTCATCGGTTTGCTCTTCCTCCGCCACTTCGTTACCATTTTCCTCCTCATCAATCACAAGTACATTTTCAGTACTACCGTTGTCGTCGTCGGTGCCTGCTGTTGGAGCAACGGTGCTCGATGCACCGCGGCTATCAGATTCAATATTTTCTGCAAATTACACCTTTTAGACCGGAAACAACCTCTAAAGCAAGCATTTACTTTGTTACTTTAAGTGTTGTACCACCGTCGTACCCCTTTCGCCATTAATATATTTAACAAAACAATTTCAGGAAGGCTTATAAGTGGATCATTTCACCACAATTTCGGAGATCCCTTTTCTTTTAAAGCTACATGGGTAACATTCAATAATTTGCTTCATCCATTTTTTGTCCTTCGCATCTGCCACAAGAACACACCAGCTTGTCTTTCTCAAGCGACCACTCAAGTGAGACCACAACATTAATAACTCATGGAGATGTGCTGCAATGCTGCGCACCATCCCATAATCCATCGGATTACTCTCAACTTTTTCTTCTCAGCAATCTCTTCTTATTCCGTAATTTACTTGTGTACAACAGAACTGGTAAACCAATGAGGATGAAAAGACCGCATTCATAGCTGATGTTCTGCCAGTTATTCGAAAATACGTTCCGCAAATTAGTAACGAATGTCGTTGTCATTTCGTTTTGCTTAGCTTCATACCAGGTTATTATCAGCAATGCTCCACCGAAATAGGCACAGCAGTGCACGTATGAATAGAACGATTCTCATTTTTCATGTCGAATTGGATGCGCAGAGGGCAAAATATGCATTCTTCATCAACTATCTTCGCAGGACTGTATTTCAATTCCCTTCGCACCAATCGCAATTTTATTCAACAATTTTTAGGATGAGCACTAAACTTACGGCAATAAGTGCAATTCCTCTGCGAAAATAAAAGCGCAGGAATACCGTCAACACAAAATTCCAGTTTCAGTTTTCAAATGTAATGATTTTTTTTTTGAATAAATTTCAGATAATGCCTCAACATATTCCTATTTTTCCTTTCGAGGAAGGGAGGAAGGGGTGGAGGGGGGAGCGGGGGAGAGAGAACGCGAAGAAGCTGGGCATCCGGAAAGATGCTTTCTCTGTGATCCCGTGAGACAGTTTTTAACAATTCGGACGTACACAAAATTAATCCCAAGTTCTGAGAGCTTGCCGTACAACACAGTGCTCCAGGGACGACAGAAGCCTTTTTGAAATCGATGAATAAATAAATGTTTCATCAACTCCGTTACTGCGAAAATGTCGAAAGACCGCTTTTTAAAACACTGTTGCCTTCTTGAATTTCTGCCAGCAACTATTTCGATTCTGCCATTTGCACAAATGTGACAGTAGGTACAATGAAAGCGAGGAACAGATGTCATCGTGATTTCTTCTATCGGTATCAGCGCTGCTCTGGATCATTTTCATTCTGGTGTCATTTCTGCGATTCAAGAAATCAGACAAACCCCGTATCGTTTTCTGTTTCCAAAAAAAAAAAAACACACACACAGCTAATTAAAGTAACGAGACATTACGAAGAATACAACGAAAGCATACCAATAAGTGGTGGAGAATCGTGCACAACTGCTTGAAGCTGCTCCGAACCAGAAACAACTAAATGCGCAACATTTATTATTAGTATTTTTTGAACATTTAAGAGCATTAAACCTAGCGGTACAATGAACAGAATGTGGTAAAACCTACCATCAGCGCTTTCCTGTAGGACGTTATCGAGCGAACGTGATCGCATCTGCTCAACTTCGCCGGATGAGGCATACATAGCCTCCGAGTTGCTGCAAAAGATATTTCAAAAAAGTTTACAGTGAATACCGGAAGTGAGTAGCATTCAGCACAACATTAGGTAAAATGCACACTGGCTCAATTACACTGTTCCATTACTGTGTTCGGCAAATGGGAACATCTCGGTGGAATCACTAACATGAGAAATACACGAGGACCGTCCAGACGATAATGGTACACAAATACAATAATTCAAATTTGATTTCGGCCAGACAGCTCTTGTAACGCTAGTATAGTGATTTTACAATTTGTGCAGAAACAATAATGATTACTCGGAACGACTGGTATCATCGTCACCAGTACGAAACAATGTTGAATCCGTGGCATCACCGGTTCTCTGAATAAATGCTTCCGACCGGACTGACTGTTCACCTACAAATAATGCACAATGCGATAAGAACCAAGCAAGCCAATCCAAATAAAAATTGCAAAGTTATTCTGATCTGCCAAAGCCTCAACATCCATAAAAACAAAACATATGCCGCAAAAACAAGACCAGTTGCTATTTGTGCAATTTTTATAAATTTGCCACATATTTGAGAAGAATTCATATGTCCCCGACTCCAACTTTTCCAGCCTTAAACAAGGCTTGTACAGCCTCGGGATAAAACAGTTACTGATTCAAACCAACACATTTGAGGGGTGCAATGACATCGGTGGTTTCTTCACACGCAGTAATGCCGATATATTCTTTCAACTCGACTGGACCGTTATGAAAATAACAGGTCCGCTTGACAAACAGATGATCCCGTATTATGTGTATAGGATGCTCCCACGTGCCAGGCGTAGCTGTGCGAGGCCATTCTACAGCGAGGACACAGCTCCAGTTATTACCCACCGTCTTTTCGATACATTTGAATCAATGTTTCGTCCGAGTGATCTTTTATTTACAGATATAGTATCAGCTATAACGTCCACTTGTTGCCAGAAAGGAGAGCAATACGCCCACCGTCGGACTTAATTTTTTAAGTGGTTGCGATGATATCTTGGACGCCCACTCATTTGATAGGCAGATTTTAACATGTTCATAAAGAGGCACACTTTACGTCTACCACATTCCACTGTCTTTTTTTTCATCACAGCAGTTAGCCCATTATCATGTTCCGCATCTACAAAAGACTGCCCTCAGCGCAGTAGTAGTGTGAAGAGGTGGATACAGCTTTTCCGGCTCGACACTTCGAGATCGCTGACGATGTAGGGAAGTTTGTGACAACCGGAAACAGTTCTACGTGCAACTTCCGGCTCGGGATTGTGAAGCATTTTAATTTCTTGGCCCCAAAAAAATGTAGTTATCAGCTTTTTCCGTGTTAACTCGCCTTTTCCGATGCTTCAATTATCAAATCCACTTTCTTACACCTTCTGTAGCACCTCTTTATTTTGATAGGACTGCTTACAAAAACTACTACGCCGCCTGCGAAGCTGTTTTGACTGTTCGTAACTGATCTCCAGGCCATTTTTCCAATCCAGCTTCCAAAGTACCACTACCAAACAGGCCGAGAGAAACTTGGCCGATATCACCTTGTCGTACTCCTCTTCCGATCAGTTCACGTCTGCCTATATCAGCCTGTGTCCGCTTTCTAACAAATTAGATATAGTTCTCATCAATTCCTCCATCCGCAAAGGCTCGTAATACAACATTCAGTTGTATGCAATCGAAAAAAATACTTTTTTGCAATCGGAAAAGCGAACAAAGACAGATGAAGCAGGTACTCTCTTGTATGTTACAACAGCCGATTTAGAGCGAATATGTGATCCATTGTGTTGTAATTACTTTGGAAACTGGCTGATTCCTCGGTTTCGGGTCATCAAAGAATCTTTCCAGTCCGTCAATGATTATCCTCGCGAGCAGCTTTTAAGCAGAGAGAGTAGGCAAATCGGTAGCTCTTCAAATCTTCAATATTATCCATTCTGTGCAACAAAACAGTTTTTAACTCTTTCCAATTACGGGATATCCCTGTTTCGACCAAGTCCGACTGAATCGAAAGGCGAGAGCTTCGTGCCTTCCAGGTTTGACTCACTTGATGCCAGTGGCGGGAGGCTTCCAGTTTTCATTTGAAAAGTCGTGCACCTTGCTTCGCTGACAAGTACGGGAAAAATTTGCTGTTTGCTGGCATAAAAAACGAACAAATTTATATAGAATTTTTGTCAGACTCCCGTCTTATTTGTTCAATTCGTTATCCGACCGCCTTTCTCACACTTAACATTGCCACTGCAGGAGTTTTTCTCGCCTGCATTTCTTTAAGCTTTGCTTGTTTTGAACTGTTTCTACCTTCCGTCGACGACTGTATCTTCTGAGATCTTTCTTCCGCCTCCATCCAGTGCGTCTGCGGAAAACATAATATTTCACATCGCGTGTTTTATCTCTTTTCATGTCCCTTTTCTTTTTTAACAGTTTCGTAGTTGAGGAGTTTCTTGAACTAGCTGCCGAAGTAGAATGCAATCCACTCGCTTTGCGCATTCATTTACCAACAGGCATTTGTGATTCCAACATTAAACAATAAGCACTTATCCAAAAACAACCATCCGCAAGAAGAAAGCTGTCTGCAGTCCCGTAGCAATCAAATTTTTTTTCCTCTTTTAACATCCAGTCCTAAAAGCCATTATTCACGATTTTAAAACAAAAAAAATCATCAAATCTGAGCAGGAACCTTGTCGCGGATCACCAGCCTCAGCTGCGCCTGCTTCCATATCAGGGTGTCTTCTGTCATCGCCTTGTGCCTCATCAATTGATAGATATGCAGATGAATGCGAGTGCTCCATTTCACCGGCATCCTCAATCAGTATAACACCATCATCATCGTCACTCTCATCATTCGCTGGTTCCTGGAAAATGAACTCAAGTTTGAGGTAGAAATCATCAAAGAGTGTTTGAAAATTCTATAGGCTTACAAGTTATTGAAGTCTGTTTGCATGTCACCGGGCGCATTGATAAATTATATACAAACAATTCACCACTGCTTGAAATCACCTGATTCCCAAATATTCCATAATTCAGCTTTTAGGAGAAAAAGCAAGGAGGAAAAGGAACGAAGCTGTGAAATCAAAAAATTCCTTCAGTCGTGTTCGAGACAGAACTATCCATTTCAAGGTACCAAAACTGCCAGAGTGGGATGCGAGTGCAGGCGACTAGCGAAAATAAATTACAGCCAAAGTGCTGCGTATTTTAACTTCGGTGCACACTTCCCTACTGCTTTATTCATCAAATCTGATAGTGGCGAGAAGTAATGATTCACAGGGCAAGCTAAAACTTTATTTTGATACTCTAATCGACTGTAGTTCATAGCCAGTTTTCTACTGTAGACAAATTTACCAATTGACCAGTGCTGCACCTCGTTATTGCCAACCTTATTAATGATCTTAACATTCGTTTCGTCTCCAAACAACTGTAGTAAGCATAAAATTTTGGGAGGCGTGAGAGACAGTGTTGTCACTCATTTGCTTCTTTTGCTTAGTCGAGCACCGTTTTGCTGCACAAAAAAAGAAGTTGCCTTAAGTCTGGTAATTGTAACAATAAAGGCCGAACCACAAAATTTATGGCGTTTGCTTTTGCCTAAAGAACGAGCACCACACGTGATGTGGAAAATTATAACAGTAGCTCCCCTCCAACTACAGTATCATATCTGTAGACCGGATTTTACAGAAATGAAATAAAAACGTCTAAAATCTCGATGCTGCATATCACACCGAAATATGTACTGCTCTGTACTGTTGTTCAGCTAATTGCAAAGTATCGATTAAAACTTACAAGATGAGGTCTGGCTCGCTGTGGATGGAACGTGGGTCTTCTATAAGGAGGCGGTAAATCAAATTCCCCTTCTTCATCAATCTCTTCTGCATCAGACCTCTCGTCTTCCATCTCTTCTTCCAGCATTTCATCGCCCTGAAAGTTTACCCTTGATTCCTCTGTACGCCTTCGAACCTAAATAATGCCACTATCATGTTCGATTTGCTTCCTACAGGAATATGGTGATACATTTTATACTTGTCAAGGGGTTTTCTCAGTCTGACATAACACTTACTGCCTCATCGCTGAGATTGTCCTCATCTGCAGATGCTTCACGCACAGCGCTGTCTTCCTCATCCACCAAAACTGCATGTTCATGCTCTTCCTGCTCTTCCTCCTCTTCATCGCGCCTTCGTTTCTCAGCCTGCTCCTCCACTGGCTCGTTGCTTATTTCAGCACCTGGCTCCTGAAAATATATACTTAAAAAATTGCACTCAGCAGTACTATCAAAACCAATAAAACAAAAATCAAAAAGGAATATTTTCTAAAAAAAAAGAAGTTTGACAAACCTGCACTCCGACAATCGCGAACATACTCCTGCTAACTTTCTTTACATTGCCAGTTACAGCACTGCCGCCTTCCAGACTTGTCGCCATGGTCGTCTCCACTAATAATAAAAATTCATTTTGTAAATTTTCAAACTCACAAATATTTTTATGACTTAAAAAATAAGACAATTATTCTTGAAGAGGTTTTAAAAAAAATCTGAAGGAAAATAAAACAGGAACTGAAATGAGACATAAAAAAGCACCCTCTGTGTAATGAACATATAAATTTGAATAAAAACCAACCATTTTCCTGCTGTTCGTGTTCAGCTTCATCAACAGCTCGCGAATCGCCACTACTGCCTGTTTCATCACCAGATCTCATGTAACGTCCAGTTGTCGAAACCTGAATAACAGCATACTACAGACTGGTGGTCTATTTCACGCGATATTATCGGAACAGCAATGGGAAAAACAATGGCGAACATACGTGGTTTGCACTGTGCAACGATATTCCGTCGCTGCAGTCTAGCTTTATAAGGTAAAACAGCGAAGTTCA